TCAGTTTCCAGCAATCAGCAGCATGTATGTGAAATCTGAAACTAGACTCTGTATGTGTCCTCTAGCAGTCTGATTTGCATCATCGTCTCTGTTGTAACTTAATGACTCAAAACCAGATAACCAACAGTCTATTGTTAGTGTACCTTTAACACCCCTACCAGTACGTACATATATATATGTGTATATATATACACACACAAAAAACAACCATACACTGTCTCCAGTATATGCCACCTACCATTAAAAGAAAGGCACAGATCTTCAGCATAGTCACTTGAAAGATCTACTGAGAGAAAGATTAAGGTTTTAAAGGAAAGTCACCCTGTCGTATCATCGTGTCAGAAATTATGTCAATCCTTCTTTGAGGCAGAGCATGGACTAAATGGCCTCTCAGTGTTCTTTTCTACACTGATTTTTTTATGAATCTATGATTATTCAGCTGCTACAATAATTAGAAAGTTCAGTTTTAATTAGTCTGAAATAGGAAAATGTCTTTCATTCTGCTTGATGATGTAACACACATGTAATATTTCAGCTGGTGGAACCAGATGAAGGACCTGTAAGGGCCATGGTCATGTGGGGACCATAGCTTTTGGTAAGCTATAGCCATAGCACAGGAGCTGAACTGCTGTGCATATATATATCTTCTGGCCAAGAGCAACAGGGAGAGAGACATCAGCAACATAGGTGTGATCTATCTTAGCAAAAATATCTCTACATTATTCACCGAACACAGGTTGTGGCTCTGGTGGACACTTACGTGGAGATCCTTGCCGCACTTCAGGGTATTCTTGGCAACTGACCTTAGCAACTCATCTGAGCCTCCTCCTTTGCAGCAGGACCCAATCAATAATCAGACTGGTGCGCTGGAAAGAGAATATACAAGTATATAGGCAGCAATGGTGGTGCAGCAAACTGCAAAGTTCTCCATTAAACATATCACCTCAGTATCTGCCCTCAGAAATTCACGTGTCTCCAGGGTGAATTTCTCTTTTAAGAAGTGGTCCTTTTTACAAGGCAGGAAGCATTAGGTATGCTCATATCTCAGTCAAAGGGTTTCCTACGCAGTGCCAACAGTTATTCAGCAGTACTCATTATGCAGGTGAGATATATCGCAGTGCTGCTACTCTGCAACACTCTGCAGATCTCTATGCACCATGTGCACAATGTCTGAAATATAAGCAAATTTATGCTGCACTCATCCTTTTTGTGGTTATTAGTGTCATTTAGTATCATCTTCCTCCAGCAAATTGACTCACCAAGCAAAATGCACAAGTGCACTTTAAAGTGGATCACATTATCACGCCTACTTCTTCTGAAGAGCCAAGTGCCATTACTACTTTTCACAAGGAATAACTGCCTAAACTGTTCCACATTCTGCAGTGCATCAACAGTGTACTTCCTCCATTCAGTTAGCAATTCAGAAGAGCGATTGAACAGTAATGCATGAATATCATACTGTTCTACAATGGAGAGATAAAATCTAGTGCATCACTTTATGCCTCTTCAAATGTTAGGGTATTCTTTTCTGGAGCCTTTTCATTGAGATATGCAGTTGTATCACTCCTAAGGCCCTGATCGTATTTGGGGTTTCAACAAGGTATTCGCATTAAAAATACTACTTTTACTCATAAAATGTATTAGAGGTTTCTCTCTCAACTCTACTGTTTAGATGACGTATAATCCTAACCGCACAGTTAATTTCACAGTCAGCTGTAGACCAAAAGGACTAATGACAGTCAAGTGCTGACAGGATTTTATTTCAGAAATATTTTCACATCGTACACTAGCACTCCTTCTTCCTCTGTGTGTTTTATTTTCTACAAGGTCAGTGGAGTATCAAAGTATCGTGGTTAAATACAACAAGGATGCAGACTCTTAAATGGTTAAGATTATGACTAAAACTGTGAACTTGGAACCAGAAACCAGGAAACCAAAAATCAGGAACAAGAAGAAGTTTTGGCTAAGGAGCATAGTCAGGAGAAGGGCTAAAGGTCAGAACCGAGAGCAATCAACAATCTACTAGTGAAGAGCAAAGCCAGAGCCCAGTCAAACTCCGTATCGTACATTTAGAGCTGAGATAAGAAGCAGTTAGCACTTGAGCTAGACAAGCTGCAGCCACTCAATGTCCAGAGATGGAGGTTAAATAAACTAGAATAAAACAAAGGAACAATGTTGTAGCCAGGGATCACATTTTGCATCCATGCATTGGGATAGCTTCTTATGCTTGATTGTTACAGCTGTCTCTACCCAGAATTATATGTGGGTCATTAGTCCCCTGGGAGACTGCCTGTGGTAGCCTGGTGGCTCGTTGCACTTTGATTGCTCAGGAGTGCTTGTCAAGAGGCTGTCAGGAAAATCACCGAAGTACACACTTGAGCTCAGATCTCAGTGGCTTTTGATAGGACTGGCCTTTGTCCCTTTGAAAATCTACCCCTTGTTCTCTGCAAAGTGGTGGCTTCCCATGCGGTCTGTTACGTTTACAATTATGCATGTTTGGTGTTTCTGTGACCTCTTTTCACTCATTACCACTGCACTTAATATCATGGCAAAAGAAGGGTAATGATTCTTTTTTTGCAGTTGTAACTAAAATGCTACCATAGCAGAGGGTATGTGTTGGCCAAGGTCTTTATTATGCAACTGTATGCAGATCACTGTGAATTGCATCGTTCATCTAGTTCAGTGATGCAGCACCAAGGTCACTAGGCATTTTTAAGCTAATGATGAGACCATAAGTCTAATAAATGTGCTTGGTAATCACAGTGAACATATTGTCATTGTCTCAGATGTTATTCTTTCAAAATCACTTGGCAAACACAACTAAAACACAGCCCTTGTGCGTGCTCTGACCTCTCCTAAGAATGCACCATCAGGAACACTGAGGAGGTGAGACTTTAAGCAGACAAGTCATGGCCTACAGCTACAAAATTGGTACTTCTAACAGTGCCATTGCAGTTTACTTAGAATAAACATGCAAGAGGCTAAATGAACATGGAATCGGTGGAGGGCAAATTTTGACAGAGAGCAGATTTTGAAAAGGAACATGTCCATAAGTAATGCCAACACAGGTAGAGATCAATTTCATATTACAATGATCTAGGCAGGTTAACATTAATTATCCAGTTTATTTTTGTAGCCGTTATGCTGCAGTAACCCACTACTGGCTGATCCAGTAGCCTTTTGTTGTCTGTCAGAAAATACATTAACCACCAAATGCATTATGTCACTGTGAGCTTTGCTATTATGTGCAGTGATTCTCCATAAGGCTTATCAGATGCTGCAACTGCTGATTTCTTTGAAAGGATATATATCATCTCCCAGGCTGGGTCACCAGGTTGCTAATGTTATGCCCTCAGAAAGTGGTGATGTACTGCCCAGAACTTGTTGCCACCCCAGTGTCTTGCAACCCATCATATATATGTGTATTTTTATTTTTACATATGTATATGTAGATCATATATATATTTATATTTTTGGCTACCAGGCATAAACAAGGCCACAACAGCCTGACCGCTAAGTATGCTCCTGACAATAAGGGAGGAAAAGGACATTTAAACCAGACACAATTTATTGAATTCTTGCTTTACTTATACCCATTATTGATATGAATAAAGGTCGGTAATTCAACATTACTGCAAAATTCACTTAAGATCTTTCAGTGGACAGAAAAAGCCAACATGTGAAGATGGCTGTTTAGCAAGGAGCTGAAATAAATGTGGTGGCAAGAGAAGTCTAAGACAAGGCAGAGCTGTCATGTCTCATTCTCAATGAGAACATAAACAATGTTCTCATTGTTCTCATAAACAATGCAGTCATGAAATCAGTTTCACTGCTTTTGTATATAAGCTTTCTGTGGCTTCCATGCTAAAAAATGGAAAAATATTACCCTTTGCTAATGGAGCTATTTCACCAGGAAGCATGGCATGTGTCCAATTCAATGTGTCAGCAGCTTTCAATCCTCAATTCAGTTTACCAACAGTTAAACTATTCAAGGCCTGTATTATAACCTTTTAGAGATGATGTGTGGCAAGATGATTTTTGATAAATAGTGGAAACTTGGTACTACAAATGTGGCCCTTGGCTTGCCAAGGAGAGCAGGTCTCTGGATGCAACCTGACGTGTTGTCAGACGCTGCTGTTCAGATAACCACTTTATTGTCATTCCATACTCTAGACCCACACTATAGTCTCCTCTCACTCAGAATATGTTCACTTCCATTCTCACCTGCATTTTGTTGCAACAGAACAGCAAAATGTTTAGACTACAGCAGAAGCTGCAAGCTCGTTTCTGAGGGTCACCTTGAGTACATCTGGCACACAAGAAGTGCAGTGGAAGACAGGCAAGCACTTTGTCTCCTATACCTCTCCTATACTGCCTGTGCCCAACACTGATACCACCATTTGAAATAACAGAAAGGAACTAAGTAAGTGCCCATTTTTGTGTGTGAATGCACATTCAGAATTGAACTTTCATGCGCATGCTATGAAAATCAAGAAACCAAAGACTATTTAGAAACTTTCACCCTCCAAAACCGTGCGGGTTTTTTTCCCCTTTTGCTTTGAAGTTATGTTTGTGTCTTGTGATTTTTTTAACTCTTCGGGGTGGGAAGCACGAATTAAAAATCAGTCTGTGACTCATGACTATTACTCATTACGATTATTTTATAATCCTCTCTTTGGTAAGTTGAAAGTAACAGCTTGCCAGGCTTGTATTTAAACTTTCATGGAATGATGTGAGGGAGTGAAATACGATGGCCCAGACACGAGACAATACAGGAAAGCTAGGTGGTGTTGGGAAGGCCTGTCCAGAGAGGCAGAACAAGAGTATATTACCGAATATACATGTTTTTAACTTATATTAGACCAAAATAACATTTATTTTTGAGGAAGTAACTGCTTATAATAGTGACGATAATATTTTTAGATTCAGGAAGCACACAGGAATAACAGGGTCAAAAGCATCACCCTGGCTGTGCTGACCTTCAGAAAGGAGAGCTATATAAAAATGAGGAATCTTGCTTAAAAGAAGTCGAAGAAGGATGGCTAAGAGATTTAAATCCTCACAGGCAGCATAGAGACCCCTGAAGAACACCATATTGGGAGCACAGCCCCAATGCATACCGCTTGCTGGAAATCCCTTGGGAACAGGTAAAAGGAAATCCGCACAGTAAAGCAAGGGAAGTTATTGAAATAAAGAAGTTAACATTCAAAACGATGAAGATGCACCCCAGTGAAGAAAAGAAAAAAGTTATAAATGCTGAAAAAATAAACATAAAACTATAATTAGACTGGCATTTGCTTTGTAAATATTGTGGCAAAATTTCAAGGTGTTCATTTTCCCCATAAGTAATTTGACTTGTCTATGACATCAAAAGAAAAATTGATGGCTTGATTCACTGGTTCCCCTGCCATTCATATCATGTAGATCAGGATGAAAACGAATATAAAGTGCTGCAGAATAGAGCCATTTTATACTTGTTTTAGGCAGTATGAATGATAATAGGAAGTGTAGGACAAAAATGGATCTAAATGTTTCTAAACCATGTTTTCTGAACTTCAGAA